ACTAACATCCATTGAACTGCACACTTTAAATGGGTGAATTGGATAGCATGTAAATGATATCTCAAGAAAACCATCCTTTTTAATAACCACTTAGGCAACTCCTCCCATCTGCCTGATGGAAAAGGGTGACTCATTTGTTTACTGGTGGGGAGGAAGATAGATCCATTAGGGTGAATTGTGGAGGGAGCTTTGCAGCGGTGTGGCTGTGATGGGGAGAGCCCTTGGGATTCAAGGGCAAAGGCTAAAACAAGTCAATCAATTCGATGACAGAATGATAGAGACAGAAATAATAGAATGGGTCAGAGAACATTTCAGAAGGAGGGGTTCTGATGAAAACGGAAACCACTTCAGTGAAACCAGATTTCAGCAGAAAAAAACTGAGGTTAGCTTGAAAGGGGTGAAGTTTTACTTTGAAATTGGTAGCTGAATGTAGTCTCATCAGCCTGGGAATCTTTTAGGAGGAAAGGATTTTAAGAATATGTCTGAGCTGGAGTTGAAATTCTGATACTCTAGGTGTAGAGATGCATCCTCTCTGATTGGAGGGAGCTTGAAGAGGGCTGCTCTCCTTTGCCGGCTGCATCCTGCCAAGTGGGGACAGGGCACTGGACTCAGGACCTTGCCACAGCCACTTCCCAGCTGGGTTGTCAACCTCTCTGCACTTCAGTTCTCTCTGCTGTAAAATGGGACTAACACTTCCCTTACAGGGTTCGTGTGAAGACTAAGTCAAATGATAACAAAGAATTTAGCACCATATCTGGCACATAGTATGCGTTATACTTTAGTGGACAAGGTAAATGATGAAGGAATAACTGGAACTGTGAAACTGGTTGCTGCAAAGTGGCCCCAGTGAAGATGGTGATTCAGGAAAGACAGCAGCTGCTAGCTGGGGGTTGGGGTGGTGGCTGGGAAATGGTCTGAAGAGAGTTAGCTGCCTCATTGCTCAACCTGCCAGTGGGGCTCATACTTCCTGTTTTTAGAGTCTCTGAGCCCTGATGCTGGAGCAGCTCAAGTTTGAACTTGATCTTCCCTGGCCCCTGAGGGAGAATGCAGAGGCTAAGCAGTCACTCAGCCTGGGCTGGGCCCCTTAGCTTCATATCATGCCTTTTCTTTCCTAGCAAGTTCTGGTGCCTATAAAACACTCCAGTAGCCTGCTGCCTGGTCTGAAACATGCTGTCACTCACCAGCTGCACTGGCAAGTAACTCAGTCTCTGCACCCCAGTTTTCCCTTTACTAGATACCAGAATTATGCTAAGAGATGTTTTAACTATTCTAGGAGGTGACCACTAAGTTATTAGTCACTATCAGGATAAATGGAAAAAAGATTGAAATTGTCAGCAATTTCATTTTACTTGGATCCACAATCAATACCCATGGTAGTAGCACTCAAGAAATCAAAAGACAAATATGCAACGAAAGAGAAAAATAAATACATATTTTTAAAAAGCTCCCTAGCTCTGGTGGCCTAGTGGCAAGAAGCTGTGCTGCAATCCTAAAGGCATGCAGTTCGAGACCACCAAATGCTGCACAGGAGAAGGATGGGCAGTCTCTTCCTATGTGATTAATTGCCTCTGAAAACCACGAGAGGGTCAGCTATGGGTCAGTTCTGACTTTATAGAACTGACATATTTTTTTTTAAACACGACAACATATTTAAAAAAAAAATTAAAAGACATGCTGTATTTGGGAAATCTGGTGTCAAGGACCTCTCCAAAGTGCTAAAAAGCAAAGACTTCAATTCAAAGACTAAGGTGCACCTGACCCAAGCCATAGTCTTTTCAATTAGTTGCAATGCACTTAAAATGGGACAATGGATAAAGATAACCAAAGAACAGATGGCTTTGAGTTGTGATGTTGATAAAGAATATTGAATACAGCTTTTCCAACCTGTTTCTGGCGTTATGGTCCCCACAAAGAAGGGTGGTGAGAAGAAGAAAGGCCGTTCTGCTATCAACGAGGTGTTGACCAGAGAGGACACCATCAACATTCACAAGCACATCCATGGAGTGGGATTTAAGAAGCATCCTCCTCGGGCACTAAAGGAGATCCAGAAATTTGCCATGAAGGAGATGGGAACACCAGATGTCCGCATTGACACCAGGCTTAACAAAGCTGTCTGGGCTAAAGGAATAAGGAATGCCCCATACCGCATCCATGTGTGCTTGTCCAGAAAACGTAATGAGGATGAAGATTCCCCAAACAAGCTGTATACACTGGTTACCTATGTACCTGTCACCACTTTCAAAAATCTACAGACTGTCAATGTGGATGAAAATTAACAGCTGATTGTCAAATAAAGTTATGTAACTGTTAAAAAAAAAAGAATATTGAATATACCCTGGATTGCCAAAAGAACAAACCAATCTGTCTTAGAGAAAGTGCAGCCAGGGTGCTCTTCAGATGCCATGATGGGAAACTTTTTCACATGCTTTGGGGATGTTGTCAGGAGGAGCCAGTCATACTGGGAAAGGTGGAAGGTCAACAAAACACACCCCTCAACAAGGTGAATTGACATGGAGACCACTACAGTGTGTGTGAGCATGGTGCGGGGCGGGGGCGGGGGGTGGGCAGGGCTCAGGTCTGTTGGTCATAGGGTCACTGGGAGGCGTGGTAGGCTCAGTGGTGCCGAACAGCAACAGCAACAGGAGGTGGATATATCCATTTCATTGAGGAAACTGAGGCACAAAGATGTTAAGAGTCATTCTCAAGCCACACAGCTGTTATTAGAGCCAGGATTCTAGTCCAAGTATCTGACTCCAAAATCCATGCTCCCAAATGTTACCCTAAAGCAGCATCCTAGGTTACAGGGATTAAAACTAAACATGCTGGGTCCTTGCCTTCGGGGACAGGAGTCCAGGGAATTTTCTGACCAGGAATCCCTGGAGACTGCACATCCTGAATCTCACTCAGCAAACAGTGGCTATTTGTGCAGGAAATTGACGCTCCAGACCCTATCTTGACTTTGCTTGACCCTGTACATAGCTTAAGCCAATTGTCCTCAAAAGTTCTCAATCTCAAAGTGATGAGAACTTTGGGAACTCTTAAAACTCCTAAACCCCATGGAGCTCTGGTGGCCTAGTGGTAAGGACCTGTGCTGCTAACCTGAAGGCCCGCAGTTCAAATCTACCATCTGCTCAATGGGATAAAGATGGGCAATCTCCATTCATGGGATTTCTACTGCCTCTGACAAGCCACTGGAGGGTCAGCTTTGGTCCAGTCCCAACTCTACAGTACCTAACAACAACAAACATATCATTTCAGAGGGAAATAAAAAATCCCAAGCCCTGACACCAGCCCTAATCTTAATCCAGTCTCTTCAGGTAAGGCATATATGGGCATTTATGCCTTTTTTTTTTCTCAAAGGTTCCCAGGTGACTTGGTTAAGAATAAGGCCCAGAGTCATTAACTGACTCTCGACATTCCCAATACTTTAGCATCCAACTATGCCGCCGAGCTTGGCTTCTACATCCCAGTTCTTCAGAATCTGGAGTTTGGTTCAAAAACTGGTCGTCACCTCCTTTAGAACTTTAGACTCAGTGCCCTCTGATACTAGACATAGCAATTGGTCACAAGTTCCATCAACACACCGAGAACATGCAGCCCCAATCCCAGGCACAGATGATGGAAACTTTTGTTCTCTGTTTCCTGAATGCCACAGATTCACTCAAGCTGGACTGGATTTAGAATCAGAAATTTCCACCTTGACTGAGGTAATTTCAAAAATTTTGGGGTCACAGTGAAAAAAACATGACTGGGTTAATTCTAGAGAGGGTCATGACTATGTCCAGTTGTACAAAATGTGCACTGCATAAAGAAATCAGATTAAGGAAGCAACTAGGGGTTGAAAACTAGCCAGCCATGTAAACCGTGGCTTATAAACTTTTTTAACTTCAAGAGCTTTGGAAGTCCTAGCCTACAGCTCTTCTAGCCTCTACTTTCCACGGGCCCAGTAAGTCCAGATTTGCAGCCTCACAAGAAACTCTGGGAATACGTATCACCCATTCCCACCCATTCATTTTTTTTTTAAACTCTCTTCCATCCAAGCAACTAGCAGAGAGCCAAAGTCTTCAGAAAAAAAATCACTTTATTGATCATCTTTATCCAAAATTACAAAAATAGATATAAATAAAAACCAGCAGGATATAATTATTAAATATTCAGTGTTCAGGAGTGGTCCTTACCCCACTTAGTGAGGAATACATGAACAAGGCTGAAAGGTCAGATGAGAAAACTGGCCAAGAAAGGGGTTTCAATGTGAAAGTGAAACAGAGACATTACATGCCAGTCATGGGTTGTGCCTCAAAATAACACATTCACAGGCATCATCTTATGTGAAAACCAAGAGTCCCTGAGAGTGACCCACAACCTCTCCAGACAGACCTGCTGTGTGTGACTTTAGTACCCACAGTGTAAAATCATGCTGTGAGATACCGGGGACACACCAGCTCTTGCTCACACTGAAAATTAGAACCCTACACATATGTACTATTTCCTGGTTCATTTATGGAGAGAGAGCCAGAGCCCTCCCCTCAATCCATTCGTTTCTTTCCCCTCAAACTGCTGTTCCCACGTTGGTCAACACTCTCAAGAGACCTTGCTCTGTTACACTTCCTCATTGGGAAACTATTCATTTCCCAAGAGTGTCTCTCATGAATGGCTTCTGTTGAAGGAGCTGGCTCTCTTTCCCTTCGATACACAGGAGATGCCATTTTTAAAACCAAGAGATCTTAGCTCAGAAAAAACCCCAAATATAGCTGAGCAACAGCATCCTGAGAAAGAACCACCTGTCCATTCTGAGCAAGGGGGTCTGAGTGGCCAGCACCCAGATCTGTGTCTGAAGGTAAAGTTGCTCACCCTGGCGGGCAGCACATGCAAAACTCATCTCTGCAGAGCAGATCACGCCCAGTCTCTTCCTTATATCTGTGAGACGTGGCCAGCTGCAAAAATGATGCTCATTGTGGCAGTGAGCAGAGCCTGGTTCCTCCTCCGGCTCCCCAGGGTCCTCAGAGGTTTAGACCATTCTCCTCTTCCTCTATGTGAGAGCGAATCCAAGGCAGGAATCGTGAGACCCTGGTGTAGACACCTGGCTTGTCCTTCAGGGCACATCCACGGCCCCAGCTCACAATCCCTGTCAGCGTGAGGCGGCCTCCAGTGGAGCAGACCAGGGGTCCACCTGAGTCTCCCTGTGAAGAAGCCAAGATACAAAGATGGGCTCTGGGAGCAGCGGAGAAATAGAAAAGGAGCCGCTGACCCACCACGCAGCCATTTCCTGGGAGAAGGGGTATTTCCCAGACTCAAACTGTTTAATGCTATCCCACATTCTGCATCATTATGTTTAAAACCTTCTGCTTGGCTTTCAAAGTCCAGTAACCTGCCACTATTCCTGTTCCCAGATCCTATTTCTCCTCCGATCCTGGGATATGCCTGCTTGTTCCCATTCTTGTATCTTTCACTGGATGCTCCATTTTTCCCTCTTCCTCCTCAGATCTCATTCAAGTTCATTCTCTTCAAATCCTCCTCTCCCTGCTGTCTAACCTGCACTTAAACTCTTTCTCCCAACCATTACAATTGTTCTCTATAATTCACACCATGTCGTCGTTATTATAGTATCTTCTATTTATATGTTTTTCTTTCCCATAACAATATGAAGTACCTAGAAAACATCCAGGCTCATGGCAAATTGTTGGTAAACATACGAGATTGGTTTAACTAGGCCATTAATAAATTCATAACGTTCATGATAAATTCTATTCATAACGTTCATGATAAATTCTTGGTAAGTACATGTTGTTGTTATGTGTCAAGTCAGAAATGACTCATAGCTGACCCTCCAATAAGTTTTCAGAGACTGTAAATCTCACAAGAGCTGATTTGCTCATTTTTCTCCCTCAGAGCAGCTAGTGGATTCAAACCGTGTGCTTTTGGGTTGGCAGCACAGCTCCTTACCATTAGGTCACCAGAGCATCTACATCCTCAATATTTAAACACTTGAGATCAGTTTAAACTCATACAAACCTGAGCTCTTGATTTCTATTTCTTTCACTGAAGTGGCCAGGAAGAGGCAAGAAGCCCTGGATAGGTTTGGGGTGATGGACAGAGATGCCTCACCTGGCAGGAATCTGTTTGCCATTGGGGGTCAGCAGCACACAGCATTTTGTAGGTAACTTCGGAACCATAGTAGTGGGGCTGCTGACACTCCTGGTGGGAAACGATCTTCACAACAGTCATTTTCAGCTGCTCTGGAAAGAGGTAGTCATCTGGAGGGCAGAAGCACAGAGGAGTGAGGGGTAAATAGTCTGTCCAGTCTTCCCACTGAAACTAGCCAAGAGTATTTCCACTGGAGAAAAACTTTACCCATTTTTCATGAATACCTAAGCCTTTACCCTCCTCATAACCTACCCCCATCCCTTATATTTACCTTTATGGTCCATGGCTTCCTACCCCATCCCTAGACTCCATCTCTGTAGCGCTCCCATCTCCTCCCTCCCAGTCCTCCTTGGTCAGGCTGGTTACCCCACTCCAGGATACCCTTAGCAAGGCCCAGTGTCACTTACTGTAATTCTCTTTTCCGAAGCCAGTGATCTCACAGTCTTCACCAACATGGGTGTCGTCATACAGTGGGGGCAGGCAGATGGTCTGGATGGTCCTGGATGGCTGCGCACACTGGCCCATGTTGGAACGGATCTTCAGCAAGGCTGAGAGTGAAGACAGGTACGCGACGCGGGTCAGAGAGGAAAGATCCCCACCTGATTGGGTGCCCACCATCTGTCCCCGCCAAATGCCAGGAGAATGACTAGGTCTGTCCCTAGGTCTATAAAGGCAAATTGCATTCCTTCGGGGGGCTAATTTCTCCCAACTGCTGGCCAGGGCTTGGGCAGATCAGGGCTGCCATAAACACCTGAACAGTTTTGCTTCCTGCCGAACAAAGTCCCTGGTGAAGCTGCAGGACTGAAATCAGCTCACTGCTTTTTTCACCAAGTTCTATATCCTGGTACGGAAAGAAGGTGCATCCAGCAGAGGAAGAAGGGGTGTCTTATTCTTATTTTCACACACAGGACATTCATACACAAATCACATACCTATAAGAAGAAGGTCTATTCTGACCCAGAAGAGGTTACCTATCTAGGAAATTCAAGAACTCTACAAAGCAGTCTCAAATCTCTCCACACCACTCCTCCCTTCATTGTGTAGCACAGGGTCTTCCCATTTCCCCAAAACCTCCCTCTCCCACTTGCATTTCTTCCCAGGCCCCTTACCCTCAACTATCATCAGCTCAGGGGTTTCCACTCACCAATATCATTGTGGTAAGCAAGTGATTCGGAGCTGTAGTCCTTGTGTAAGATCAGCTTTTCCACTTCAAACTTCATCTCCCCAGGTGTTTCAGAGTGAAGGTGTGACCGGCCCAGATAGACAATGTAGTCCTCAGCCTTTGCTGGGTGGTTACTACAGGAGGCAAGACATGTCAGACAGCCCAGCCTCATAGGATTCTGTCATTTCCCCCTTCCTACCAGAGACCTCAAGGCTATGGGCTGTGGAAGAGGGGCCGAGGGAGGAGGGGGGTGAACTTTTAATAAGAAGGGGTGTGTTTGGGGTAGGAAGAGGGGGAGAAACAGAGCAACATACATGAAGCAGTGTGTGGCGCTGACCACCCAGCACGCGCTGATGAGGCTGCCACCGCACACATAGGTGACAGACCCTCCTTTGTGGCGCCTGTAGATAGCTGCAAACCAGGGCTGATTCTCAATGGTTGTGAATTCTCCTCCGACAATCTTAAAGCGGGGCTTCAGAGCCTTCTGGCCACACTGAAAATCTGATTTTTCAGGAGGATTGAAAGGTCTTTTTCCTAAGAGAAAGATGGGTGTTTTTAGGAGATGGCACACTTCTTCAAAGCCAGGAAGACCTTTCTATCCCTCCTGTTGGGGACATGTGGAGACACTGCCTCCTTCCTGATCCCCCATAGTAAGCAAGTCAGTGACACTCACCCATAGAACAGTCTGGCACCAGGCACTCCTGGACAACCTGCCTCAGGCCAACCTGCACGTAGCACCAAGGCTTCTTCTGGTAGTCCGGGTTTCTGGCAACACAGAGAGTTGAGGAATGTCATTCTAACTCAGAATGCCTTTTCTGTCTCCTCCCTTCCAAGGAACATTGAATCAGAGGCTTTGGTCAACACTCTGGGAAGGGGGGATAAAGGTTTTGCAAGGCCGCAGGGAGAGAAGGTCCTTGTTGTCCATCCTCACCTGCAGTAATTGTGTTTTCCCAGGCCCAGCTGAAGGGCATTGGTTATGTGGGCATTGTATGGTTTGCGAAGGACGGAGGGCATGTCCCAGGCCAGACAGGGCCGACCCAAGATGTCCTGGTTGGCCTTCCCTCGGTAAGAGTAACCATTCCCTTGGTAGCAGGTTTTTGAAGTATCTACAGGAAGATGTAAAGATGAAAAATATTAGAGGAGGAGGTTCAGACAGATACACTCAAGATTCTGTCTGTCTCACATGATTTCAGATCTGACATTCCCATCTCACATTTGTGCAACCATTGCTTAGAGAGAGAGAGAGAAAAGGTGGGGGGGGAGAGAGAGAGAGAGAGACTATGTATATCAGACAAGGATGAAGATGCCCCCACCTCAGTCCCAGCTCCCACTTCTTGCTTGTCCTGCACCCCACCCATCTTCCTCCTTCCCAGATCCCTGCTGTCTGGCCCTCCCCAGCTGGAGTCAGGATCCCCATACCTATCTCACAGTGTTCCCCTTGGAATTTCGTTGGGCAGTGGCATCGTTGAATACCGGAGAAGTACTTGTAGGAGACACAGGTCCCTCCATTCAGACACCCACAGTCTGCTGCAAAGCACAAAGGTGGGGTCAAAAGGGAGCTTAAGAGGATGCCAGGGCTGAGGCAGCCCAGCAGCAGATACAGGGAGGGACAGCCCCCATGAGACTTTTCCAAGACATCTGTGCACACAGCTATTGTGCAAGGGTGGATACTCACATGCAGTAGACCCTTGCTTTTGCCTGCCCTGGGAGAGAAGTGAGGAATGAGAAGAAGAGGTTACCAAAGGTCCCATGACTCTGGGACTCCAGGGTGGGGATAAACTGGTCCAATCATAAAACCCACTTCTCCCTCACTCTCCCCATTCTGTCTCTGTCTACTTAGCCCTCAATGGAAGATCATGGGTTGCCAGCGTGCTGAAACTGATGGCCTCAAGCAAGCATCCCTTGACAGGTGCTGCAGGCTGAGACATCCCCTCAAGTTTCTCCCTCCCTTGGTCACAAATGCGAACCCCTAGATTCTTTCTCCTTGGGACATTCCTCACACTGCACTCCACCCCGACACGTGCCACACACCCCCGTCCACCCCCTCCAAGAGCTGACCTTGCATTCGGAGAATTCGGGTTCTCTTTGCACCCTCTTCCTTGCTCTGCTGTAATTGAGGGGTTCCTGCAAGCCCCCTCCCGCTGCCATAATCAAAGTAGGAAGACTACTCACTTCAGAGTCACAAACGAACAGGGTGCAGAGCAGGAGACACGCCAGCTGGACTCTCATGGTGGGGTCGGGGTTCAGACAGCGGTTCTGCGAGGGAAGAAGTCAGAGCGGTGAGCACAGAGCTGTGAGAAGAAGGCTCCGCGGGCCACTGCAGTCCGGAGGACAAAGCAGACCCCAGGCGCCTGGGCCTCGGTCTCGCCTCGCTTGGGGCTGAGAGGCCAGCGCCCACAGAATCCCGGGGAGCTCGGGAACTTGGGAGACAGCAGAGGCAGGCCACGGAGCAACGCAATAGAAGGGCGCGCTGCAGTGCAGCCGACTGTGCTGGGGTTTGCTCTGCGCCCACGGACAGTGCGCGGCTCGCTCAACGCCCACAGGCCGTGCCCTGCTCGCGCTGCGCCCACGGACAGCGCAGTCTGCACTCACCGGTCACCAGTGCCTGCCTTGGTCTGTGCTGGCAGCAGCCGCTCTGTCTCTATCTATATGCGAGCCCTCCCCGCCTGGCCCCGCCCCCTCCGGGATCGCGGTCCACTCCCTTCCCTTCTCTTCCCTTACCAGCCCGCTGCCTCAGAGCGCGCGCTCCCGCAGCCCGGACTCGGTGAGGTCCGCGCGGCTTCATAGCTATGCGGGTTGGGCAGGCTCTGGCGGGACGAACTGAGGGGCGTCCTAATTGTCGCGTTCATTTGGCCCTGGGTCCCACCCCGGTGCAAAGGAGCCCCAAACTGGCTGCAAGAGGGAGATAACTCCCCATTTCCGCTCCCTAAATAGTCACTTCTTTAACCTTTCCACTCTAGGCCCTGGATACAGGAGCACAACCTGTAACTCAAGTAACCGGTGAAGTCTCTCAAAGTGAATGCCTGCAGACACTCATCAGCTCGGCACCACCAACACAACAGAGGCCATCCACTGCCTGTTCCTCAAATACCATCGAGGTGAAGGCGAAGGTTTTGTTTTTGGCGGTTAAGGCAGATAGATAATCTTCAAAGGAAATGTCGGTTGGGTTTTGGGGTTTTTTTTAATATACTAGTTTATTTACAAAATTTGAATACATTATTTTCGAGAACAGATTCTTCCAATTTCACACACACACACACACCCCATCAAACTGTACAACTCCATGATTAATTCCCCCCCCCCACACACACACACACACATGCATCCTCGTCCCTCTGCGTCGTATTTTATGGAGAATTTCAACTTGATCTAAGACTGGAAAAGACTTTGTTTATACTCAGCCAAATATAGTGATCAAATATAGTAGGATTAGTAGGAATAGGCCAAGGTGAAAGCTCTGGGACTGTTAGTTAATAAAGAAAATGGGGTCTCATTCTCTCTCTCAATGCTGTGAAGTTGGAGCTGCTGACCCATAGCTGACCCTGCAATAGGTTTCCCAGTCTGTAAATCACACGAGAGATGGCTCAGCTTTCTCCCATGGAGCTGCTGGTGGATTCGAACTCCCAAAGAGGCATAGCCTTTAGGTTACCAGAACAATGTCCTGCAGGCTAAGCCACTAGAACTCCCTAAAAGATAATTATCATCATTGTTGCTGTATACTGTTAAGTCAGTGGGAGCCAAATCATAGCTGACCTCCCAGCATCTTTTCAGAGACTCTAAATCACACAGGGAGAGACTGCCCCCGCACCGGGCTTCCCATGGAGTGGCTAGTAGATTCGAACCTCACACATTAGGGGTGGCAGCGCTACTCCTTACCACTAGGCCACCAGAGGCTGATTTTTATTAATGCAAACAGTAAGCTGCAGAGTAGTAAAAAGATTCTTCTCACGTCTCCCAGAGGAGAGAAGCTGGTGAATTGGAGAACAAAAAAAAGAGGGGAAGATTTATTTTCTTTTTATGCCCATTTGCATGGTTTAATTTTTTACCAGTACATCCCTGTATTTGCTATTTCTGAAAAAAGATATTAAAATTATTTGAATGTCCTTATATTTTGTATTCTACCTCATTGTAGAACCTTGTTTTTATTAAGATGAAAAGAATTGTTTATCACATAAAATTGACTTTCTGAAGGCAGGCCATGTGTAAAATCACTCCACTCACCTTTCCTTGGGTGCATGCATTGCATGTAAATGCACCATACTCATATGAGTACCTACAGAGACATGGCTCCAACACAGCCAAAGAAGCAAAGCAAGGGCTCTGTGGCTCAGTCCCCTCCTCCTGTCCCTTTCTCTAGTGTCAGTGTCAGAAACCTAAGTTTAGAGTCACTGTGACTCTAACCCATCCATGCAGACTGGCTCCCGTAATGGGAAGACAGAGGCCTGTGAACCCAGGGGTTGATAGGTTGGTCCCTCAGCCAACCCAGTCCTGCAGCCTTGGGTCAGGAACTTGGAAGGATTTCAGGGGGCTGGAGAGATCTTCAGGAGCAGCATGATGAAGGGAGGCCCTTTTGATCAATCCCAGCAAGAAGCTTCAAAATGCCAGGCTCTGGGTGGGGAAAGTGCAAGTTAACCATCCCACTTTCAGAAGGCAAAAGCAAGTGACCCATTTCCCTTTAGCTCTCTAACCTTTCTGTGCCACTCAAGCTGCCAGCTGCCTGGTAGACAGACTGAATCAGACGTGTTCTAAGCTGGCCTGGCTATTTCCTCTAGAAGACTGCGTGTTTTGTTTGGACTAGGGAAGAAATTAATTATAAATAAGTGTGATCTACTGTAAACAGAGGTATTGCAGCCTGAGGACTTACCCCGAAACTGTTCAGTTCTCAGGAAATTCCCAGAGGCTGTCATGATTCACGATGCTCCTCTGGCAGCTCTCATGACTCCGAATTACTTGGCTAGAGGCTGTCATGCTGAGTCCGAGAGCAGGATGACCTCATTTCCTCCTGGTTAAAGAGCCTTGGAGGCCCGTTATGACATGCAAGACCCCTCTACCCCCTACACAACCCCCTGCCTCCTCCTCAGCTGGTTCAAGAATTCTAGCACCTCCAATTCTCTCTAGAACTTTCCTCTCAACTCTGAACTTTGAGACTCACTAGCATCTCTCCATCCATCTTTGGTTGCAGTCTATGGTAGACTTCTTTGAGAGCAAAGACAACATCTTAAATATCTTTATCTCTCCCAAAGCATTCAACAGTGCCTTTTTTTCATGCAAATGCTTTCTTATAAATGACTCTTGAACAAATGGGCCGTTTGGGAAAGCTCCCTTCTTTGTGTCTTTGGTTCTAACTATAAAGAACAAAAACACATTCCCCTTGAGTCATTGCTGACCAACTTATAGCTGACCCTTTAGTGCAGTTTCTGAGGCTGTAAACTGCATCTCTAAGGGAAAAAGAATGCCCATCTTTCTCTCTCAGAGCAGTGGGTGGATTCAAACCATCAGAGAGGGGCCTACTTTGGATTAGCAGGACAACTCCCTATGGACTACCTGTATTACTCTGGTCTTGTGATAAAAACAAAACAAAACAAAAAACACACGTTGATGCAAACCATTTCTTTTTCTAGTTACAACTCCTTATGAGAAAGCCCAAGACTGTTATTCCCATTTTGCAAGGGGAGAAAAGATAACTAATGAGTGAGTGGCAAAGCCAGCACTAGATTGATTACAGGTCTTCTGATCATTGTTCTGTTCTTGGGCTCTGTGACAGAAGAGATGGATGGAATGTTGTGGAAAGAATAGGCAGGTGACCGTGAAGGCTTTCCAGCCCAGGAAGCGGGGAGTCCTCCTGTAGACTTTGGAGTTCTCATTCTGGAAGAGTTTCTTGGGCCATAGGCTCCAAACTCTGGGAGGCCATCAGTGGATCATGAGTTAATTACTTGCCTGAGTTCCAGGAACTGTCTTGATGGTCTACACTATCTATGAAGTTTCTGTAAAGGGTGAAAAAATGGGAAGTTAATGAGTATGATTTCATACTGTCCGTGACTCCCAGAGGAAAACCACTAGCCCCTGTCTCCATGTCTCAAGGGTCCAGACCTCCTAAGTTATGGTAGGCAACAGAGGCATTCTTTTCAGGAGCTGCCCTGAAAAGGGCCAGCAGAGGCAGGCAGTGTGCAGGACCAGACTGTTCAAACCTGACCCTGAGACTTTATCCAGGAAACTGGGCCCCAGAAGAGCTAGAGCACTCTTCATCAACAAGAAACAAAGGGATTGCACACCCATATTTATTGCTGCTTTGTTCAGAGTAGCAAAGAGTTGGAAACAAGCCAAGTGACCACCAACAAACGAATGGATTGAGAAGCAGTGGTGTATTCACACAATGGAATATTATGCAGCACTGAAAAACAAAGAACTCATGAAATATTATACAAAATGGGTGACTGTGGAGAACATTATGTTGAGTAAAATATCTTAGCCACAAAAATACAAATACTGCATAATGCCACTGTTATAAAACAGGACTGACATAGGTGTTCGGGAAAATTAAAAAAAGAGGGGATAAATAATATACATGGCATTGAAACAGACAAGGGAGAGGACTGTATAAAAGGAATATATGATTAGGTATTATTGGCATGACAAGAGTCCAAAATAAGAGCTGCATAGTAAAGTGGACTGGGGTGAGAGTCTGTATAACAATGAAAAAATTTTTTTTCCAAAGGAAAAAAGTGAACTGGGGGAGGTGGGGCAGGGCGGAAATGTGCAACAATGAGTGAATGGAAATCCAAGTTCTCTATAAACTTTCATTAAAATCTCAATAAATAAAAAAAGAAGCAAAAGGAGCTTCACACCAAGTCCCAGGATGTATTCTTGGGTTGCTGTACTAAAAATGTACAATATCTTTAAAAAACCTCAAACTCATTGCCATCAAGTGGAAACCAACACATAACTGATCCTCCATCAGTTTTCCCAAGGCTATAAATTACACGGGAAGAGATTGTCCATCTTTGTCCTGCAGAATGGCAGAGAGGCTTGGCCCAAAAGGGGTTAATAACACATTTCCTCTCGAAGAACTCATTGAAAACACCCCAGTGTATGGTCTTGAGTCCACTATACCCCAACTGTATGACCTTCAGTCATGACTAGACAGACGCAAGGGATTCAGACTACACTGTCAAAGAATGTGACCATTAAAATGAATGTCAATATAATTTTTATATAGTGTTTCAGCAGGACTTTATTGGCTTTTATAAAAAATATTCCTATCTACAACCAGGAGAAGATAAAATAGATGAATGGGATCTTCTAAGACCCAAATCCCTATGGACATCCAAAAACTTCTCCAACAGGGTGAAAAGGGAAGCCACAGACTGGGAAAAAGTATTTGGTAATGACATGTCAGATAAGGGACTTATATCTAGAATTTATAAAATACTTGAGCACCACAACAAGATAAAGGTAAATAATCCAATTGAAAAATGGGCACAGGATATGAACAGACACATCACCAAAGAAGACATTCAGATGGCCAACAAGCACATGAAGAAATGTTCAAAATCCCTAACTCTAAGAGAGATGCAAATCAAAACAAGTATGAGGTATCATCTCATCCCAGTAAGAATAGCAAAATTTAACAGAACAGCAAGCAACAAATGCTGGCGAGGTTGTGGAGAAACTGGAACCCTTATTCAGTCTTGGTAGAAGTGTAAAATGGTGCAACCACTGTGGAAATTGGTGTGGCGCTTTCTCAAAAAGTTGCAAATACAGATACCATTTGACCCAGAAATTCCACTACTGGAATATACCCTAAAGACACCATAACCAACATCCAAGCAGATATATGCACACCCATGTTTATTGTGGCTTTGTTCACAATAGCAAGGAGTTGGAAACAACCCAAGTGCCCATCAACAAATGAATGGATAGAGAAGCTGTGGTATATTCACACAATGGGATAGTATGCTGCATTGAAAAACAAGGAACTCATGCAATATTATTCAAAATAGGTGACTCCGAAGGACATCATGCTGAGTGAAGTGTCTCAGTCACAAAAGGACAAATACTGCATGGTGCCACTGTATTAGAATGAGACTGACATCAGGGTTGGGGAAAGACTAAGAAAAACTGGATAAATTATGTACTGCATTGAAACAGATGAGGGAGAGAACAGTTTAAAAGCGATACATGCTAGAGTCTAATGGTTATAACAAGAGTCCAGAATGAAGGTAGCATAGTGGAGTGTACTTGGGGAGGGGGACAGGGCCGGGAAATTCTATACCAATGAAGGAATTTTTCTTTTACTATTCAAAGAGAGGAGGGAACTGGGGGGGAGGGGTGGACAGAGAGAAAAGTGCAACAATGAATGAATGGAAGTCCAAAATCTCTGTAAATGTTCATTAAAATTAAGAAAATAAAATTTAAAACATAATTCCTGTCTTTAAGCAACAGAAACATTTTTCATAAGCCCAACTTACATCTATCAGTACACCTGCAAGGCTAAAACTTTGCTGATTTCCTTTCTGAACCTTCTCATGCACTGTAATGGAACAGATGAAAGAAAGAAGTATTTAAAAATAATATATGATTAGGCATTGTTTGTATGACAACAGTCCAGAATAAGAGCTGCATAGCAAATGGGACTAGGGGAGAGGGGAAAGCAAGGGAGGAAATTATGAAACAATGAATGAGTTATTTTTTTTTAAAGTGAATTGGGAGGAAAAAAATAGTGAACTTGGAGGGAAGGGAGAAAAATGTGCAACAATGAATGAAGGAAAAAATCCAACTTTTCTGTAAACTTTTGTTAAAATCACAATAATAAAAAAGAAATATTACAGTGATTTATAATTATAGGAATTGGAAGACACAGAAGAATTTCATGAAACAACATATGAGCAAGAGCCTATGGTGATAAAAGAAGAAGTTCAGGCTGCTTTGAAGGAAATGGCAAAAAATAAGGCTCCAGGAATAGATGGTATACCAATTGACATATTTCAGTCAACAGATGCTGTC